CATGAGGACTGTCTTAGCTGTATCCCATAGGTTTTGGTATGTGGTATTTTCTTTATTTTTTTATAATTAATTTTAATTAAAGATTACAGAGACTTTGGATTTCCATTCATTCATCGTTGCACTTTTCTCCCTGCCCCCCCCCCATAATTCACTTGTCTCTTTGAAAAGTAAAAGAAAAAAATTCTTTCATTGTTATATGATTCCTCCCCCCAAGTCCACTCCACTATGCAGCCTTCATTCTGGACTCCTGTCATGACAATAATACCTAACCGTATACCCCTTTTAAACAGTTCTCTCCCTCATCTGTTTCAATGTAGTATATATTATTTATCCCCTCTTTCTTAGTCTCCCTGCAACCCTGATGTCAGTCCCGTTTTACAACAGTAGCACTATGCAGTATCTGTCCTTTTGTGACTGAGATATTTCATTCAGCATAATGTCCTCCAGCGTCACCCATTTTGTATAATATTTCATGAGTTCCTTGTTTTTCAATTCAGCGTAGTATTCCATTGTGTGGATATACCACAGCTTCTCTAGCCATTTGTTTGTTGATGGGCCCTTGGGTTGTTTCCAGCTCTTTGCTATTGTGAACAAAGCTGCAATAAACACGTGTGTGCATATGTTGTGTTTTCTTATAATTTGTTTCAAGGAACTTTTTAGTTTTTCTTTCTTCTATAACCTAATCATGTTTTAGCAGGGTGTTATTTAGCTTCTACATCAGTGGTTTTATAAGCTTTACTCTTGTATCAAATTTCTGGGTTTTGGCATTGTGGTCTGAAAAGATACTTCGCATTATTTCAATGTTTTTGAATTTATTTACTTATTTATTTTCATGGGGAGGAGCCAGACACATGTGGCATGGCAGCAAGATGGGAGAGGGAGGCCCAAAGGAGGTCCCTTCATGGGAAGACCCCCGCAATGCCATTGGTGCCACACAGCACTGGACACAGGGAGGTGGGTGAGATCAGGTCTGGTTCCACAACCCTGCCTGCCACACATGGCAGGCTGGTGGGGAAGTGGGGCGAGGAGCCTGCAGCCAGAGCCAGGAGAGTGATCCCATCCATCACAGGATGTGCGTCTCTTATCAAGCACGGCTTAGGCCTGGCCTGGGGATCACTTGAGGATGCCACATTGATCCGAGAGGTATTTGAATTTATTGAGGTTTGCTTTGTATCCTAATATATGATCAGTTCTGGAGAATGTAACTTGTGTACTTTCAAAGATAGTAAATTGAGTTTTAATTGGGTGTAGTACCCTGAATACATCTACAGGGGTGAGTTGGCTGATTGTTTAGTTTAGGGCTGCAACTTTGCTAAGTTTCTTTCAAGTTTCCCTAATCTTTGGTGATGACAGTGTGTTAAAGTCTCCTACCACTTTGTGGTGCTAATGCTTTTTTCAAGTCTGTTAATCGTTGCTTTGTATATTTTGCAGGTCTATCATTTGGTGCATATATATTGACCAAGTTTATACCTTCTTGATCTACTGTGCCTTTAATCATTATATAATGTCCTCCATATCTATTATGGTGGTTTTCATCCAGAATTCTATTTTATCAGAGATTAGTATTGACACTTTGCTTTTTTGCTTGGTAAATTTTTTCAAGTGTTTGATTTTTAGTCTATATTTTTCCTCATTTCTTAGACTTCTTTCTTGTAGACAACTTATTGATGGGGTTTGTTTTTCTATCCACTCTGCTACTCTTTTCTTTAATTGGTGCATTTAATCCATTCACATTCAATGTGATTATTGACAGGAAAGGTTTTATCCCTGCCATTTTGCTGTGTTTTTTATTCTGTTGTTTCTGGTTTCTAAGCTTACACTTTCCTTTAGTGCTTCTGATTAAAGGACTTAGAATATTTTATAAAGCTGGTCTTATTTAACCAATTCCTTAAATTCTTGCTTTTCTGTAAATGATCTAATTTTTCCTTTATATTTGATAGGTTTGCTGGGTATAGGATCCTTGGCTGGCAATTGTTCTCTTTCAACATTCTGTATATGCCAGACCATTGTCTTCGTGCTTGCATGTTTTCTGCTAAGAATGTAGATGACTCTTTGTTAGCCTTATCTTTTATTTTGGAAAATTTGACTAATCTGGCATTATACATCGAGGGAATAAGTTCCTGAGTCAGGACCATAGTTTTTGGGAATATCTATGTCAACTGTTATAATAATTTTCAGAGACAATATTGTACATTCTACTTTGGTGAATAGTGACTAGAAACATGAAGGATTTTGAGTACCCAGCTAAGGTGCAACTATTGTTCACTCTACTTCTGAAGCAAAGAGGGGAGAAAATCAAAGACTCTCAAGCCAAAGTACTAACTTCACAAGAATTTCTCTGTGACCTTGAGACCAGACAGCTAGATGGTGGTTGATTACCTTGGTGGGCCAGTCTGAAAAGGTCACAATAGAAAACAAAATAAATAAATAGAAAATCCCTGTTAGAATGCCAGAAAATATGGAGTAAAACTAAAAAAGTGTGACAAAGATCAGATTTATTGATTCATAGGGATGCAGAAACCCTGAGACCAGGTTCCTTAGATATCTGTCAGCTAGAACAGAAATCACTCCCAGGACTCACCTTCCAGATGGACAATGAACACAGGCTTCTAAGAGGGACACACTTCTTAGAACAATCAGCCATGCAAGATCAAAAGGGCCACATTTGCCCAGGGATAAAGGTCAGAAGACAGGAAGGAGTTGGAAAGAAGCAGAATGGAAGCTTGATTCATAGGGAGGAAATGGGAATAGTGCTGTTACCTTCAAGAACGAGGATTGTAATCATGTCATGAAACACGGAGTACATGAATTGCTGAATGGAGAGCCCACTTAGCTCTGTAATCTTTCACTCAATTAAAAAATGCTTAAAAATGTCCCTCTTTTACATCATTTAAACACAATCTGCTTTTAGAAATCTTTTCTTTCTATGAGATATGAATGGGAGAGACTCATTATTCTAGACCAATTACTTGGCTTACAAAACTTAACTTTCTAAGAGCCTTTGATGAATAATATATCAGGTTTTAAAAGGGTTTAGGACATAAAAAATGCATCTAAATTCTATGCCATTATAGCTGTTAATAAAGGTACATGAGAGAATCTAACATCATTTTTAAAGTCTAGCATGCATGTGGTGGTTTGAAGAGAAAACTATTCTCTTATGAATGATGATAATGTTGTGATCGCAATAGAAAGTTTGAAATTACTCATAAAAATACTGGGCTATTTGAAATTTGAACATGGAGCTAGAAAAATGATATATCATTATGAATCCATTAGGACAGAATTCTTTCTATATTTTACTCAATTCAAAATGATCACATCAATAAATTGTAGAGTTTGCCTGACATAGTACCTTAGCTCTAGGGTCAGCTCAGACATTTGCCCAATTATTAAAATTTCACTGGGAAGGACTAGGTCTCTAGGACTGTCAAACTTGCAGCACATCTGCATAGATACAATGGACTGATGGGGAAAGTATACATACTATTTAAAACATGTTAAAATTGTTAAATCTAATGTGTACTTAAACTTTTTGTCCCAACAAAAGCTTTAAACTCACTGGTTTATTCTCTATGTGTAACTAGATGTATTGGTATTTGTTTCCCCCCTCATTTAAAAGCTCTAAAAGTTTAAATAGGCTATAGATCAGAAGACAGTGTGATATGATAATCTGACCATGCCAAATATAGACATGATTGATGAATTGCAAAATATTTTATTGCTCAGTGGGAAATGAGAATGCAAACATGTACCTGATGTTTGGAGAGTATGTATTTTATTGGACAAATACTAAATAGCTAAGCAGTTACATATCTATGCTCTTGGAAATTATTTTTACAAGTGAAGAAATGAACCAAGTGTAAATATGTGAGCTCCATATGAAAGCTTTCTGTGAACCCTTTAGCTCACTCATCAATCCCTCTCATGTTCACCTCTCTACCATTTCCAGTCCCACCACCCCAGCCCCATCACATTGCTGCATTTTCACCTGGTGTCCGCAGTATCTTCCATAAGATCCTCTTTGCCTCTACCATCTTTCCTACATTTCTCCCAGTCTGTTATCCTATAGCTCAGCTTTTACCACTTTCCTTAAATGCTTTAAAGCTGAAGCTTTAATTTTTAATTAACCCCTGTCTGATTAATAAAATTTAGTCTCTTGGGCCTGACAAGAAAGGCCACTCAAAAAAAAAATCTCTAAACCAACTTTCAGGATAGATTTCTAATTGATGCCTCTAGAATTATTCTCAGTCCCACCAGACTATTATTCAAATGTTATTCGCCTAAAATTGTTCAAGTGTGGTGTAAAAACTACTCAGAATCACTCCTAATCCATCATGTACTTTTAAAAAATTACTTTATTAATTTTTTAAAAATTTTTTATTATATTATTTTTACATCAAATCAGATCTGACTGGTACAGGAGGAGATTGCCCCCTCCTTCTTCAGCAGAGCATCTTGTGGATTTGAACCATGTACCTCTGAGATTGCAGTTCAGCATCTTGCCACTAGGCCACCAGAGCTCCCTTATTTTATTAATTTTAATGAACATTTACAGAGATTTTGGATTTTCATTCATTCATTGTTGCACTTTTTTTCTTTACCCCACTACCCCCAGTTCGCTCCTCTCTTTGAAAAGCAAAAGATCAATTTCTTAGTTGGTATACAATCCCCCTTCCCTCACCCCCCCCAGTGCACTCCACTATGCACTTTTATAAGTGAAGCTGAGTCTCTCAGCTCTCTACTAATATTTTTGCTGGTGTTAACTGCCTGCCATGGAATTCTCAAGGATCTTTGTCTACTGTATACCCACCTGAGGAGGCTCTGTCCCTCATGGTAGACCACTGACATCTGGCATCTGCTGCAACCACATTTGAGGATTACTATCTTGGCCTTTAGGTGAGATATCTGCCAGACTCTCGAATGTCCTCACATCCTCTCAGTGTCCACTATATCCTTCCCTACAAAAGCCCCTGCCTGCTGTCCACTGCTGAGCTCACCTGGCTGATGGTGCTCATGGCTCGCATGTAGCTTTCATTTCTGGAGCGGAACTTGGGTGATGTAAGCAGACCTGCTGGGTCCAAGCTGTCCAAGCTCCGATTGATGGAGACTTCACTGACTGCCCTCAGGTAACTGTGGCTCCGGATCTGGAGTTTGGGTGAGTGTTCATTGGAAATCCTGCAAGAGAACAAAGGGGGGAATGCATGTAGTCATTCATGTTCCAAAACGTAGGCAGTGATAAGATGTGGCCATACTCTCACTTATGTGGCCATCTAACTACTAGGGGAGACCTATAGAGAGGTGACTGCCAAACCACCCAGGGTACCTCATAAGAGAAATCTTGAAATGCAGTAACATTAATGCTCTTCAATTTATGAGGTAATTTCGCCATTCTCATTTTCTAAAAATGGATGTAGTATCAGTCATCAACCATTTTGCCACAGAATTCTGTCTTGTGCAACTTATATATTTTCCTTTGGACTATTTCTTTCCTATGGCTGTCATTTTTGTATTTGGACTTTCTGGTAATGGCAAGTGAGTGATCTGTTCCTAGCTCTGTCTGCTTCCATATCTGTCTAATCTTTAATGGTCTCATTTATTTAAAATGGAACTTAGTGAACAAAATAAAAATGTTAGCCCTAAAAAATGCACACATTGCTAAAACCTTATTAATAATAATAATTAAGAATAATAATAGTAAAAGGTAATCTCTAGGGCGTTATCTTGAGAAATTCAGGTTTACTAAGTCTTAGAGGGGAACTCTGGTTAGAAGCATTAATTGTGTCTAAAGGAATCTACAGTGAGAGCAGCTGGTAAACAGAACAAAAAGC